CATTTTGTGATCATACTCAACCATTTCTGTGAGCATCCTGATTACCAGTGTTTTGAACTGTTTGTCTGATAGATTGGCTGTCTCCTTGTCACTTAGTTCTATTTTTGGAGCTTTGATCTGTTCTTTCATTTGGGCCATATTTCTTCATCTCAGTGCACCTGTTACATTGCAAGGGGTAGAGCTATAGGTATTTGCCAGGGCAGGGCAAACCAAGTCACTGCATTGTGATGCTGTATGTGAGGGAGGGGCCCAAGAGGAAACAATGCCGCTTTCTTGGCTCTTGGCTGGTTTTCAGTCACTTCCCTTGCTAACCACAAGCAAGTTTGGCCCTTTTGGTGCTGATTCCCTGGTGGGTGGGTTTGTGTATGTTCTAGGACTCTGTGGGTCTACCCAATGAACTCTCCTGTGAGGACGGGAGTTTCTCCTGTTGCTCTATCCCTCACAGTTTTTTACAGCCAGAAGTTTTGAGGCTTTCTCTTCCCGCACTGGAACCCTGGATTGCACAGTCTGTCTTGCTCCCGAGTTGTTCCTCCCAGTTTATCCGCACGCAAATGTGGGACCACCTGGTCTGCTAGCCGCCACCTTGCTGCATGTCTTCTCCAGCTCATCTTTGCCTCTCCTACCTGTCTGGATGAATGTTTTTTCTTCAACCTTTTGGTTGTTGGACTTCCATACAGTTCAATTTTCTGGCAGTTCTGGTTATTTTTTTTGTTTTTAAATTTGTGGTTGTCCTTCTTTTGGTTGTGTGAGGAGGCAAAGTGTTTCTACCTCTGCCTCCACCCTATTTTTCTGTATGTGTTAAACCAAAAAACTGCTGAACCCAAAGTCTTAATTTTAATAAAGAATGTAAAGCAATTTGGTGCTTTACAAGCTATCACCAAGTCAGGAAACATTTTTGGTTGTCATACCAATGGCATCCAATGGGTCTAGAGGCCAGAGGAGTTGCTGAAACCCTACAATACACACAAGACAGCCCCCAGTGGAAAGGATTATCTGGCCTCAGACCTCCATGTGGGGTTGAAAAATCCTGAGTTGATAGTGTTGCGCCAACATGGATATCCTGGTTTTGACTAAGATTATGGAGAGAGATCATCACTGGGAAAAGCTGTGTGAAGGATACATGGAAATTTTCAGTGCTATTTCTGCAATTTCCTCTGAGTTTCAAACCATTTCAAAATAAAAGTTGTAATAATAACAAAATTAAACTTTTTTTTTTAAAAAGAAAACCTACTATTGAGATGTGTATAAAGCATTGTGAGGTGCTGCATAGTGAGGAAGCACACCTTGCTGCCAGGGCAGGTGGCGTGGTGTGGGAATGTGCACAGGATCAAGGTGAGCCAAGCCTGCACCAGACAGTGGCTTGGCCTCGGCTAGCTGTGTGGCTTTAGACAAGTCCCTTTTCCTAGTGAGCGTGTGTTTTCACATCTGCGAAATGGGTGCATTCTTGCCTAACTAGACTGTTGTGAGCACAAAGCAAACTTATTTGTGAAGTGCCTTGTATCTTCTATGATTCTATCCTAAGGATGATGTGAAGAATAAATAATGTAGGAAGAATAAATAAATCTTCCAATTTTGGGGAAAAATTACACTGGCCCCCAATGTACTAACCAGGAAAAGCTGCTCTTGTTACCTAGACAGTGAACATTCTACTTACTTCCTGTTGTTCCTATGATGAGATGTGTTATGTATACATGTTGTTAGGACATAATGTATACAACTTGCATATGTTCATCTGACACATCTTTTGCATCTCCTGAAAAATAATCCACCCTATCTTATGAAGCTTTTGTGTGTGTGTGGGCTCCTGTTTGTTGACTATGGTTTGGTATTGTTGAACATTCATTTTTTGTGACCTTAGGCTTCTGTGACCACCTTTTCCGACTTACCTTCTCTTCCCAAGCTGCTCCTTGTCAATCTCTTTCAAGGCTGATTGTCCTTCTCTCTGCCATTCTGTCCTTCAACAAATCTTTCACTCTCTGTTCTCTTATAAAACTATGTCAAATTCTTTGTATACTCCCTGCAGTGGCCAGTGTTCCCTTAGCTCATCAGAAATCTGTTCATTCATTCAGCAAGTTATTGGAGCCCTTTCTATGTGGCAGCACAGCCATGGCGTATGTGGGGGGCGGGAGGAAGACGTGCAGGGGGCATGGCTCTCATGGTGTTTGCATTTGGACACTCAAACCTTTATGCAGATGACTCCAAATCTACCATTACAGACACGTTTTTGGCACTCGCACTTCCACCTGCCTTTCTTCTCCAAACCTCACCCAGCTCCACACACATAAGGAAATGCCATTTTCCTCAACAGATCTGACACCTGGAACCCTTGGGGTTGGTACTCAATCTTTGGGAGGGATAGGCTGGTAGGCCATGTGGCTCCGCCTGTTTCCCTTAGACAGGCCTGCCTCCCTCATGGTGGAGGGTGGAGGATGGAGGGGTGTCTTTCAACAAAGATGCTTCCTCCCATAGCAGAGAGCTGCTTCTCAGGCTAGAGCCTGCTCTACCTACCCCTTTACATCAATCCTGTTCTCACACACAAACATGTCTAAAGACATCCGGAGTGGCACTGCCACATTGAAAATCTGTTTGGCAGTTTATATGGAAGTTGACTGCACATGTAACCCCCTGATCGGAAATTCCAGCTATGTACAGAAGTGTGTACTTATGGGCACCAAGAGACACGTACAGGAATGTTTATAGCAGCATTGTGTGTAATAGTCAAAAACGGAAAACAGCACATTCAGCAGGCACAGCTAGCACTTGGAGACCTTCACACCTCTGCTGAGGTGAAGTGGATGTCAAGGAGTTACAGATCCACACATCCCACCTCACATCTCCCTGAGATAGGCACCCATTGAGTACAGCAGTGGGCAGATCTTGGGTCCTAACTTGCCAGCTATGTTACTCTCTTGCTGAGGAGAATGGCTGATTTTTATTTGGTTAGACACCTATAGCATGGGATGCTACCTGCCTGGATTATTTTATTCAATTCTAACAACAATCAGTTGGGAGCTGGGGTGGGGAGACACCTTGTCCCCACTCCTGGTTGCTGAGAGGGATTTCTCCTGCCCTTGTGGTGTCTTGCCCCTCTCCTCACTGCGGCCCACAATGACATTGCGGGGGGTGGGGTGGGCAAGGCAGCCACTGGTTGTAGAGTTCATCTCTCACAGGTTCTGAGGGTAGGTCTTCTCTCACACCAGTGGGAGACCACAGCCTAGGCACTGTGTACACTCTGCACACCCCCTTCCCTGGAATAAAGGGTCTCTTTGGCAGTATAGACTTATTTAACCCATCTGAATCTCACACTTGGCAGTGTTGTGAGTAGCCTATGCCAATTATAAAGATGACATCTGTTTCTACTGACCCTCATTTTTCTTATTTCTTAAATGTTACAAAACCTGGATCGGGAAGAGGTTGTGTGCTATTTATTGGCTCTGCTTTGAGACTCTAACACTCTCTGAGGGGTAGGTATTACTCCTATTTTGTAGCTAAAGAAATTGAGTCTCAGAGATATTGAGTAAGGTGGCCAGGGAGAAAGGGACTGAGCTCATATTTAAACTCAGAACAGCTGGGCTCAGATTCATTGCTGTTCACCACCCACAGCTATAAGTACAAACACAGGGAAGATAGCCTATCTGGAGTTCATCCACAAGAAAGGAGATTTCGCTTGGGTTCCCCCTTTTCTCCTTTGTCTCTCATAAGGGTGCAAGACATCTAGACCTCTTAGTATCTGGCAAGAGCTCAACTTCCTTATCTTCCTGCCTAGGTCCTGTCATTAAGTTCCAGTTACCATGGAGTTACCTTTTCCATGGGGAACTTACCTACTGGAAATGTGAACTTCTTGCAGGCCTCAATATGGCCCCATTGTTCCATAAAACACAGCGTTGGTCAATGTTCCAAACTGCAAGTTGCAGAAACTAACTCAAGGCAGCCTGAGCGAACAGGAGAGTTGGTTTGATGGACAGTTGGGTATTGTGTAGAGTCTATTCCTCTCCAGGGCTGGGAAGCCAAGAAGTGTGAAGATGATGGAATCAGGAGGATCTTGGTCTGCCTCTTGTCTGCTCTGCTGCATTCTTCTCTCCCTGCAGACTGGATTTCTGTTCTTAAATCTTCCTTCTTCAGGGGGGGCCTTCCCTGGTCCTCACCATCAGCTCCTAGAGTACCTGCATTTCACCCTTTGTAAACTGTATTAGGCTTGTCTTTTTCTCATTTAATTCCCCTGCTAGACTGCAAGCTCTATAGAGGCAGGGGCTGTGTCTTGTTCACTGGTCTCCCCCTGGCATCTGGCACCAGTTGGCTCTCGATCAAAACTGAATGAATTAAAAGATGAGTGAAAGGGGTGTAAGGGAAAGAGCCTGGACTTGCAAATGATCTGGAGATGCTTAGGATCTCAGTTTTCACACCTGCAGACTTGGGCGTTAGACTAGGTGAACTTTAGTATGTCAGCTCTGACATTTTGTCATCTTTGTAGATTTATCTCAGTCCACCCCCTTTGCTCTTAGATGGCAGGCAGCACTTTTGGTTGTATTCAGGGACTTGAGATGTTGGGTGAGACTATGGGTGAAGGGGATTTGCTTCGTAGCAGGGCAGAGTACATGTAAAGCAAGGTCTGCCAATCCATGATCTTTCAGTTCACAGTCCTGAGAACAACAGCCACCAGAACACTGTCGTGCAGTTGACCATCTAAGGTTTCCCAGGTATCAAATGTTACCTCTGGAGATCTAGGGAACAGCCATGCTTCGCCAGATGTTTTTGTCTCAGAAGTTAACTTATAGTGGTATTTCCTATTTGCTAAATGTCGACACTGGAAGACAGCCCAAATCCCACCTTTAGAACAGCAGCACGTCAGACTTCTGTGAGGCTGACCATCCATCCCCTCACCCCGAGCCTCCCAGTGGGGGCCCACTCAAGCAAGTGGTATGCTTTGCTATAGAAACACAAGTAACTGTCCCCATGGAAGTGTCACTTTATTCAAAGCTCGACAGCCAACCTGGGGTCCCTTGATTGGGAAATACTCTGTACAAGGCACTGCCTGCACCTGAAATTGGAGGGAAGAAAAAGACCCTTGTTTTGTATCATTTAATTCTCATTCACGTCTTTTCACAGATTCTAAATGCATAGTTAATTTTATTTGAGTTATAAAAATTAGCTCTGCTTATTAAGGCTTTGGGCATGTTCAAGCCCAGTCACGTACTTTAATTAACATAAAAGCCACCTGCTGTTAAAGGCCTGCAGATCAAATCAAGTTTGCTGGATCCACTGTCTCTGTGACTAAAATCTGGAGAAAAACATCTCCCATGGAGTTGTTAGCCTGCTAGAAATTTGAGGCTTGTGGGGAAGAGGTTCATATGTGGACTTAGGAGTTTCCATGTAGCAGTTGCTTTAATTAAGTATAAGTCAGAGGTGACATCTGTTAGCAAGCACCTCTGCTTGGATGTAGTTGCTGCTGAATAGCCACAAACTCTACTGACGCAGAGTAGAAAGTGAGTCAGAGCCACACACATCGCTGGGAGACTCTAACCCCACTGTAGTCAAAGGAAGGAGGAGAGAACATTCCCCACATTACTGACATTGGCCGTCTGCTGAATGTTTAATCTCACACTGCAGCCCTGAGACTATGGGACCTACTCAGAATTGCTTAGTCTTAAAGGTGTATGAGAATTTATCCATGGGCAAAAGCATTCTGGAGATACAAGTTGTATTGCCAAATAGAACAACCACATATTTAATCTGCAATCTATAGGTGAGATGGTCCCAGACTGCTCACACTCCACTCACGTGAATTAAAATGATAGGGGGCTGGGGGTGGGGACGACGACGACAGTTCAGTGGCATGTCGGTGACACTGTCACAGCTATTTTAGAACCTGTAAATATTTATATGAGCCTGTCTCAAACCTATATCCATCAGTAAGAATTCACTTAGCACTGTTTACGAAGAGACGCAAACAAAAACCAAAAATCACTCAGTGTCTGGGTCCCTCATAAAATCTCCAGAAGTCAAATAAGTTATTTAATACCTTCTTCCTATGTTTTGAACTGATGTTATTTCCAAGGATCAATCCATACAATTTTTTTTTTTTTTACCTGTGGCATACTCAAAGAGCCGAGTTTCTCGAGCTGACTAAATATTAAAAGCACTAGGAGAGCTTAAAAAATATACATATAAATTTAAATTCCTGTGCTTCACCTCTTACTAAGTCAGAATCCAAGGGGAGGGAAGTACTGAGAAATTTCTTTTTAAAACCTCTCAAAATCTCCAGGAGATTCTGACTCAGTAGGTGAACTCTGAAGGCCCACTTTGGGGAGCAGTTGCTGACAGCAGCTCTTCTTGAACTTCAGGTGCATCGGAATTACCTCTACTGATAGTGGGACCGTTCTGGTTCAGAAGGCTGGGCTGGGGCTTGAGACTCTGCTCCCAGGTGGTGCTGATCCTTAGAACTCTCTGAGAAGCCAGGGTGTGGAGTACCCTGTGTCTAGGTGTGTATCCACCCACCTGCCATCCTTGTGGTTGTGCTGAGCCTAGGTGTCAGCTGCAGGGTGCACCCTCCACCCCTTCACCCTTGCCCTCTTTCCTGCTGTCCCCCAAATCTCTTCTGGTCTTGGACTTGCTTTAACAAAGGGAGGACTCAGCTCAGGGTTGGAGCCTCCTCTCCTGGTCCCCGTACTGCCTTCCGCAGGACCTGCAGCAGCAGGAAATGCAAGTGCATTAATCAGGATGAGTGTATCTGGTGTAGCAGCTTAGGGAGACAATTCTGTTTATTGTTAAGGACTAAGAAACAAACTCTGGAGATGCTCTACACAAGTGGTGATGAGCTAGCTATTAAAGAGGGGTGGGGTAGAGAGGAGACACAATAATACACAGCATTGATTTGAGTGGGCACCAGCTCTTCATTCTAACACTTGAACCAAGGAGAGACAGCCACCTTTTTTCACTAAGGCTGCAGAGGAATGGAAACCTCACTCAATTTATCAGTTTTTACAGGGCAGGCTGAGCAAGAGGTTATTGTTTTAAGTTGATACAAGAGGCCACTCGTAGTCTGTTGTGAGCCCCCATCCCAAGCACAGAATGGATGTGGAAGGTGGTCCACAGTTGCTGATGGTGGCTGGTGGTGATGGTCTTTAGGTCTTGGGCTTCTCTTGATTCTCAATGATAAGCTTGTCAGTTGCATACATTTGGCCAATGTGGACCTGAAGGCAAAGAAAAGACACAGATCAAGAACCACGGGATTCCGTTAGCAGTGAAAGCTCCAAAAGAGCATCTCTAATACTTAAACGCAAATGTCTGCCATCACAGGCCTGTCCCCTGCTGGAAAATGCACTGAAGGCAAAGTGTAGTCGCCAAATTTGCCTTTGCTAATTCCCTGCACATTGGAACTGAGCTGTTAGTCAATGGCTGTGCAGTAAAGATAGAGATAGGGGGCGGGACTCTTCTTAACAGTGAAAGGCTGGTCCTCTACATCAGAAAAAATAAGTATGTATTGGGTGAGATATCCAGCAAACCCTGTAGGAGGCCTGGCAGGGCAGCCCCAGCCCCTTGTCTTTGGGCAACAAGCAGTGAACACCTACTGTACCAGACACTGTGCTGTGGTGATGTGTGGAGATGTGATTCCTCCTCTCAGAAGCTCTGTATCAAGGAGCAGAGACAGACAGGATACAAGAGAACTGCCCTGTTAACTGGCAGGTGCTGGCAAAGAGGGTAGCATGCAGGACTAGAGAAAGTTAGAAGAAGATGGATCTTAAGCAGGGCCTCAGGATTACACTGGGCTGAGAAGTGGGAGCCAAGGGAGGGGCAAGAAGCACATTTCAGATAGAGGGAATGGCCCCTACACAGGCAGCCAGGTATGAAGGCAACTGATGCATGAGGCTTATGGAGAATGTCAAAGACAGCATGAGCAGTGAGTGTGGATAGGGTGGGAGAGAGAAGAGTAGGTTAGGGCCAGATCATGGACGCTAACTCATTCTGAGGAAAATTTTGAAATGTTAAAAATAGAAGGTGGGATTATATTTGTGGTTAAAGATTACTTTATCTCATTGTGAAGGTAAGAGATGACTTTGGCTTGAATTAAGGAAGTGACAGAGAGTACAGAGTAGAGCAGACCAGAGAATTGCTTGGATGACGTACAAAATGGGGAATCAAACAATAGTAAGATCAAGACCGACCTGTATAGATATGATGAAAATCACTATCCCCATTTTTTGATGATGAAAGAAGTCTGAGAAATCAATCCATGGAGGAGTAAAGACTTGAATCTGTCTAGTGCTTTCTCCAAAATGCTTCGCCTCCACCAGTTCCTGTACCAATGCTGACTTCTTTATAACATTAATTTCATGCCACTGTAACACAGTTGTAGTAATCACAGACACTCCCATGAAGGGGTGCAGTAACATATTTATTAAAATTTGAGGTGACCATACACGTAATTGGGGCCTCCCCAACATTCGTCTTTCCTTTAAAATGTGTGTATGCATACAAACACACAATTAAAAAATATTTTATTCATTTATTTTGAGAGAGGAGGAAGGGAGGGAGAAAGAGAGAGAGAGAAATATCAATGTGAGAGAGAAACATCTATCAGTTGTCTCTTGCACACACCCTGAGCAGGGACCGAACCCACACCCAGGCATGTGCCCTGACTAGGAATCAAACCGGCAATCCCTCGGTTTGTGGGGCAACACCCAACCCACGAAGCTATACCAGCCATGGAAAACACACAATATTTTAATTTGAAATCATACCTTGCTTTCAGTACTTAGCTTTGTATTATAATTCTTACATCATTCACTGTCCTTTGAAAGAATATTTTTAATAACTGTATAATATTCTATTGCAAAGAAGCAGCATAATTTATTTACTCATTCTCATTTATACCAATTATAAAAGTATAAATCTTTTATCACATCTCTCATTTTTTTCTTATAAAAGGTTTCTAGAAGTAGAATTATTAGGTAAACATGTCTGAATATTTTTATAGATCCTGATAGATATTGCAAAACTACTTTCGAAAAAGGTTCATTTATCTGTCTAGCTGACACCGCCTCTGGTGGACTGTGTGAAGGTTGGGCAGCACATTCAGCCACAGTATGAACGCATCTCCTCCCACGGAGCCACTGTGCATGCTGTGTGTGCTGATGGCTACCTTCCTGATGGATGGGCAAGAAGAACACAGGGTTCTCCTGCTGTGTGGCCCTTCAACTATGTTCCTGACAGAAGCCCCCACTAACATAGTTTTAATATAGTATGTTTCTCAAAGTCCACCAATATAAGGACAGGGCCTTTGGGAGACAGGTGCTCTCTTGCAAGAAATGCAGCTGTGACATGGGTGACCCAGTTCCAACTGGTTCCCCATGGAAGTCTTCAAAGAAAGTTGCAGAATGAAAATGAGGAGGTGATCCAAAACTCAACTTTTAGGGCACTTTATATTGAAACAAACCTTCAAATTTATAGTCCAGTTTGCCATAAGTATGAACTAGATTTTTAAAATTCCATTAAGATATGATACTTCTATGGCTGATGGGGAAGAAAACTAAGATCTCAATGTTAGTGATGTTAAGACGGACAAAGATTAATATCTTTTCATCTATCCAGGCCCCCTGGCCTGATATTCACAGTCCTCTGACGGCCGCTGTCCTCCTATGTGCCATGAAGTTCTCACTGATGCCATGAGAAGTGGGTCTTTGGGTCTTTCAGCTTCTGTGCCTTTGCTCCGCCAGCAGCTACTCTATCAGGAAATACTCACGCAGTATCTACTGAGTAAAAGCCCACCCACCCTTTGGGCCAGTGGTTGAAGATTCCCTGGGTCCCTTCTCTCTTTCCTGAAAACACTACATATATCTGTGCCACCCATGTGACCCTGGTTTGGCCTTGTACTGTCACCATTTGTGTGCTTGTCTCGCTTCCTTTGCAGGAGAATCAGTGACTAGCGGGGAGTAGGAGAAAGACTCAGCTGCCTCACAGCATAGGTTAGGACTGTGCCAGGTGCTCGTTAGTACTTGACAACTAAAAATACCAGGGTCTGGTATCCCTGGTTACAAGGCTCTATGTTCACTAGTTCAAAATTCTAGATCTATAACTGATCTTGAAGTGCTTTGTGGTGAGCTCCTAGTGGAAACAGGGAAATGATAAATGCAAGTCAATGAAAATAGCGACAGGACTATTTACTGTAACAAAAATGTGCACTATTAAACAAAATCAAATGATTTAAATTCAGCCAAGCTGAAGGTTGAAAGTTCTAATCCAACGGTATACAGGGTTAACTCAGAGCAATTACAGAAGAGGCGGGGGAAAAATATGCAGTTCATAAAGAGGGAAATATTAAAATGTTACCTTAATGAGGACGATAGAGATGAGGCAATGAACATTTGTGTAACATCTCTGTCGCATTTACTTGGGCTATAAAATGTGTCAGCACACGTCAGGGGGTCAGCTGGGGACGGATGCTGCGGTGCTAATGACAGAGCATGTCACTTCTAAGCTGCAGGTGAGGGGAACTGGCTGGTCAATGGAAGCGAGGAAGTGCAATTAACAGCTTCAATTTACAGTCCCTTCAGAATCTCAAATTGACTTACACAGCCACATCAGGCTATTACCATGCATAAACTGGTCATTAGAACTTATCACACTTCTATAAATGTTAGGACTTGGCATTAGAATCCATTAGGAAAACCCACAGATCATTCAGCTGCAAGTAGATGGGACGCCTGGATGGCCTAGAAACACATGAGCTCTGAGGCTCATTAGACAAATAACCTGCTGGTTACTCATCTGAAGCGATGTGCTGTCTGCTGTGCCACACACTGCAGCCTGAGTGAGGCTCAGAGGAGCTGGGCTCAGTCACCAGGGGAGGGGCCCGTGGGGCCGCCGCAGTGGGGCCTCTGCTGCCTCTTGCCTACTTCACTGGGTTGTTATGGGAATCAAACGAGACACTAGACTTGAAGAAAATGTAGCAATGGCCCCAAATACTTCCTTTGGTCCAAATACATTAAATATCTTCATGCTGTTATGGGCATTAAATAAGAATAGTACCAGGTGTGTGGTAAGAGGTCGTTAAATGTTACTTGTGTGCATGGACCATCTATTGTCAAGTTGAATACCCCAGGATCTCAGGTCTTGACCTCAAGGATCTCCAAGGCTCACCACATCAGCTGTGAGAGTCCATGATTTTGTAATATTAAATCCACCCGCATTTGTGGAGAGAGGGTGTCAGGGATGTCTGAGACCATCACCTGGTTTTGAACTTGAGCTTCCTGAGCTGGACTTGAGTCCATTCTTCCATCAGCTCTGCTCTGAGGGCACAGCTTCCTATCCAGGAGGGGCCCAGAATGATTTTCGCTGGTCAGAGCAGTTTTTGTGTGAGAGGGAGGGGCCCTACATACTGAACGTTATGGGAGAGATGTTGACATCTGGCTTTGCTTGTGAAGCTAAGAGCTGGACTGCCCCTGCTCTCTTTCCCTTCTGAGGATGGGAAAACCACCAGGCAAGGATGATATCTTGTCTGATAGGGGGCAGTGCCAAATCTTGCTTCAGGCATTGTAATGATTAGGCTATTACTAATAAAAATAATACCAATGATAATAATGATGAAAGTAATACTAACATTTAATGAGTACTTACTGTATGCCAGGCACTGTTCTGAGCATTTAATTAATCAATTAAAAGTATTACTTCTTTTAATCTCACCACAACTTTATAGAAAGATACCATTATCATCATCAATTTATAGGCTTTTACAAACAAACTCCATTTTTGGTGTTTAATCTCCCTATCTGGAAGGAGTACAATTGCTCAGATGGGCTTGCTCTTCCATTTCACGAATAAGAGGCCACCCTCTCAGTGGATCACACTGAAAATATAGGAAAAGGCAGTAACTACAGTCATAACAACCACACACCTAGACATAACTGTACTAAGAAATGCGTGTGATGTTTAGAAAGAAAAACTGTAAGACTTAGAAATACAAAATAAGTTTGAATGAGAAAATGCATGTTCATGGAGAGACAGAATCATATACAATATCAATATTTGTCAAATTAATTTACGTTTAACACAATGATAAAAAAAATTCCAATGGGATTTTTTTGAGATATTTGAGAAAATGACTTTAATGTTTATTTGGATGAATACAAACACCAAGAATAAGAACACGTTGAAAAGAAAGGTATGAAAGCATTTTTGAGATACAATTAACACA